GGTGCCTGATGTAGTCATTGTTGTCATTGCTTCTTGATTATTTCTGGAATTCCAACTTTGCTAGTGAAAACTCTTGCCAAATTCTTTCGTGAATGTGCAAACACTAAGGAACTAAGCAAAGCTAAGATCACCTCTAGTAGTTCGTGCCAACCCCTGTAGTCTAGCTCACTACCGTTGTAGAGTTATTCTCCATTGCTGCTTCACCTCATCTCGTGTCCGTACTGCTTACCCCTGAGGGAGACCCGGATGCACTTGACATCCCGACTCCGCGCTCTTACGCGGAGGCGATAGAGGGTCCCTACTCCTCTCAGTGGCAAGCAGCTATGGATGCAGAGATGGCTTCCTGGAAGTCCACAGGCACCTACGTTGACGCTGTCCCCCCTCCTGGGGCGAACATCGTCAGTGGCATGTGGATCTTCAGGGTGAAGCGGCCGCCGGGTTCTCCGCCTGTCTTCAAGGCGCGTTACGTGGCTCGTGGCTTCAGTCAGCGACAGTGAGTTGACTACTTTCAGACCTTCTCTCCCACCCCGAAGATGACCACTCTTCGGGTACTGCTGCACGTTGCTGCTCACCGGGACTACGAGCTGCACTCTCTCGACTTCAGCACAGCTTTCCTGCAGGGCAGCCTGCACGAGGAGATCTGGCTGTGCCGCCCACCTGGCTTCACTGGGTCTTTCCCTCCTGGTACCTAGTGGAGTCTCCGGCGTCCAGTCTACGGTCTCCGCCAGGCGCCACGTGAGTGGCACGACACACTGAGGACTACACTTGCGGCTCTTGGGTTCGCTCCGTCTACTGCCGACCCGTCGCTGTTCCTGCGCACCGACACTTCTCTGCCGCCGTTCTACATCCTCGTGTACGTCGACGACTTGGTCTTTGCCACTGTTGACACTGCTGGACTCGCCTACGTGAAGTCCGAGCTGCAGAAGAGACACACGTGCACTGACCTGGGTGAACTGCGCAGCTACCTTGGCTTGCAGATCACCCGGGACAGAGCACGCCGCACCATTACCATGACTTAGTCACACATGGTGCAGCAGGTCCTTCAGCGCTTCGGCTTCACGTACTCCTCGCCTCAGGCCACTCCTCTGTCTACTCGCCACTCGCTCTCAGCTCTGCCTTCGGATGAGTCCGTAGAGTCGAGTGGCCCGTACCCAGAGCTTGTTGGCTGCCTCATGTACCTGATGACCTGCACACGACCTGACCTTGCATACCCTCTTAGCATTCTTGCACGCTATGTTGCTCCTGGGAGACACCGACCAGAGCACATGGCTGCAGCGAAGAGGGTGTTGCGCTACTTGTGCAGTACGTCGGGCATGGGACTAGTGCTTGGAGGGCGGAGTCCAGTGGTCCTCACTGGTCACGCAGACGCTTCTTGGGCTAACGACCAGGCTACGCAGCGGTCGTCACAGGGTTACACCTTCAGCCTTGGTTCCGGCTCTGTTTCGTGGCGGGCTACTCGCTCGTCTTCTGTTCTTGGCTCCAGTTGTGAGGCTCAGATCTACGCAGGGGCCATGGCTGCTCAGGAGCTTCGCTGGCTCACCTACCTGCTGACCGACCTTGGAGAGCCGCCTCGTTCTCCTCCAGTCCTGTACGTCGACAACAAGGCCATGCTGGCCTTGTGTCGGGAGCAGCGACTGGAGCACAGAACAAAGCACATTGCTCTCCGCTACTTCCTTGCTCGTGAGCTACAGCAGCGTGGTCAGTTGCGACTTGCGTACGTGGCCTCTGAGGCCAACACTGCTGATGTCTTCACCAAGGCACTTCCGCCTTGTGATCATCAGCGCTGCTGTACCCAGCTGGGTCTTGTGTCTGTCTTGCCTCACTTGCTCTCCTCTTGACCCTCTTTGTACTGTTACATATATATATCACTGCTCTTGCTTGTTTAGTCTTATATATATATCTGTACTCCTGCATGTGAACTGGCCTTGTGGCCTTGCACTTGTGCTCGGATTGTGTGGTGACGTTGTGATCCATCCTGAGCTTGCTTTGTTTTGCTTTACTTGACTGGTCTTGTGACCCCTAGTTCTCCCCCACTTCGCCTATGGGGGTGTGTCAAACATTATATATGTTGTTGTTGTTGTTTAGGCTACAGTGGGTTAGCCTATAGGGGGTACACATTCCTAGGTTTTGATACTTGTACTCATTTCACTCTTAGTTCATTCATTCTTGTTCAACAGCAACTAGTCCTTCTCGACACGAAGAACCTGAACCTGCTCGGCCCTGCGAAACTTCCGCCACGATTTTGCGGACCGTTTAAAATCCTCAAGATGGTGACACCTGTGACAGCGAAGCTGTTGCTCCGCGACGACTGGCACATCCACGACGCATTCCACGTCAACCTTCTTCGGAAGTTCGTGTCTGCCACGACCTACATTGCACGTCAGCAAGCGGTCCCGACAGCTCGCCCCGTCCCGGAACCAACCCTTGACCCGTCAAAAATCCTTGCTCATCGGGTCCGCCTTGACGCCGCTGATCGCCACGTGGATTTCTTGATTCGCTGGACCGACCGCACCAGTGAGGACGACACGTGGGTGCCATCCGCTTCACTGGACGCATCGACGCTTGTTGGTGATTATTTAGCGCGCCGTCGTGTCTCGGCCATTGACTACCTTTCTTAAGGGGGGGGGGGGGGGGGGGTGGTGTAAGGAATTTTCCCGAATTCCTTATCGGGGTTGACTGCTTCGCGTACAACCCGATTTTTGGAGTTCGCACGTTCGGCCGATTTCAACGCTGCCGAGGCTCCTCGCGTCGCCTTCGGCTTTCCCCTCGCCAAACCTGCACCCAACCTCGCTCGTCCGAGGTTCTCTCCTAGCTAGCGTAGTTCTATATTAGTTTGGGCATTCATTGTATTCGCAGTTGATTCAGTCACAGCTTCGTTATTCGTTTACCTGCGCACTCTCTTTTACAACTCATAACAAAGGCCTTCAACCAGTAATTTGCTTCATTTTGTTTTTTCCATTGTAACCGTATCGCTCGCTATCAAAGCACCTTCCTCTAACGCACCTTCCTCAGAGCCGTCGCGTTAACCAGTCTCGCCGCGCCCTCATGGAAAATGTTGAGCTAACCAATAACCTAAAACGAATGTGATACACGTGCGAGGAGCGGCTCAAATCGCAAGACACTTTTTCTGGTCAGGAAACCCAAAGCTGCAAACCATACTTCTGTGAAACCCGTCAAATTGCATTGAGTTTCACAATCCAGTTTTTTTTCTAGGGGTTTTTAGTTTTCCCGGAAGGACCACTGTAGCTTTCTTTCTTTCAAACGAATTTCATCTCAGCTTGAGCACACTTTCCGCTGATCCGCTTCTGAGGCGGAAAAGTTATTGTGCTAACACAGAACTCAGCTTTTCCGCACGTCACGCAAGCACTGTTCTAATCGGATTTTCATTTGCCAGCAAGCACAAAACTAAACCCCAAGTTTTCAAGGGCATCAACCCGAAATACCACGCGACAAGGTGTTTAGGGTTGATGCCATACATTAGCATGCCAGCCAAGAGGGATTTAGTTTTGGCATCAACCCTAAACACTTAGTCGCAAGGTGTTTATGGTTGATGCCCCTTTACACTTGCCAGCCGAGAGGGATTTAGTTTAGTGCAGATAGAGAGGCAAAATAGTGGTGTGCACTTAGATGATGACACGTGGGTAAATTTGGAATCTGTTTCTCCTAGTCTTCTGTCTGGGCCGCAAAACCTGGGAAACTGTGTGCAGGTAGAAACAAAGTTCTCTAGAAAGCGCAGTTTCGGAAGTACCTCTTCCGCCGTAACTAAAAACCCTTTATCTGGTAGCTGGTTCAAAGTCGAGAATGTATAAGGGGAAGCAGGCACAGATTGGCTGGGGCCGACCTCTGGCTTCAACCAGCCGGTCAAGATCAGTGCATGCTGAACGTTAGCGGCTAGTCACCCTTCACAGCCTGCATTTATTGTTTCATGATGATTCGGCGCCTTGAATCCTCATCTTCCCGAATTAAATATAGAGTCGCAGAGCACACGCGATACTTTGTCACACTGAAAGCTTGCATGATGTACATTTCTAGAGCACCTTCAGAAGTGGTTGACAAGGTTGTTTCTGTAAAAATCGTCCAACCCTAGTAAGGCGTGCTGGCTTTTTTCTAGCGCTGGACGCATTATCCTGGGTAGACTCGGATCGGTCGGGATTTGTGACTAGATTCGAGTCGAGCCAGAGCTATGGAATCAAGGGGTTGCGCAGCTGGCAGCTGTAAAATGGCTGGGCAGCTGGGGAGCTGGGGCGCTGGGGGCAGGTGGCGGCGAAGCGGGCCAAGTACGGGGCCAACATGGGAGAAAGACACCACCGCCACCAACAACCTCAAATCGGCTCGACAATTCGGCTCGGCTTGGCTTGTTGTTCCATTACGGTGATAGAATGGACCAATCACAGACAAGCAAGGGTCCGCCCTTGGCCCACAGGCACAGGTTATGGGTTATGGTCATCATGTATGGAGCAGCTCTATCTGCGGGCGCGCTCTCGTCGCTCGTCGCTCTTAGAAGTGTTGCTCGCCGCTCTTCGAAGCGTTGCTCGCCGCTCAACGCGTTCTGGCTGATCAAACCGCGAGAAACACACGGAAAGCAGCAGCTCCGCCAACCGCCGGTAGTACTGTGATACTATCCACTGGTCCTTACCAGCCCCTGGGCTCTGCCCGGCTTGCCCTTACTACACGCATCCGTTGCGACGCTTCCGGGGTTCAAGTCGACTCAGAACTCGCCTTTTTGGCCCCTGCGCTACCGGGCTTGCCCTGCTTTTACCGGTCTGGTGTGACTAAGCTTGCAAGCGACCCGTGCCGCGTTACTCGACTCGAAGCCGCTCCGCTCTCGTCTCCTCTGACAGCTTTGACACAGCTCGGAACTCGATCTGGTGACGTTTTAAGACGCTTGCCGCGTTACCCTTGCAGAAGACAAGACTCATCGCGTGGCTTAGCAAGCCTCACCTTTCTTCCTCTGACAACCAGGATTTGCCTTTTCCGCGCGTGTCGCCATTGCCGTAGTCATGGCTCTCCGCCCTTCCCGACGCTCAGCCCCCCTGCGCGCACTTTCCCTGCGCTCCGCCCCGCGCGGACTTTCCGCGCGCCTCGTCCCCATCCTCGTGCTCCTCCGCCTCTCCTACGCCGTTACCGCTGCCGTTCCGACGGACGACAACGCCTCGTCGATTCGCATCAAAGCTCTTCCGTCGCTGCTCCGCATCGCGAAGCCTCTCGCGAATTCCCTCGCGAATCCCGTCGACCCTGCTACGACGACTGCGGCCGCTGCTACTGAAGGCAGTGATGCTGCGGCGGCTGCGTCCCCAGCTGCGCCTACTAATAAACACCCGCAAGCGAAGACCACCCACTCTTCATTCGGCCTTCCGCGGAGATCTGGCTTCCGCGCTACCAGCGCAGCGGCTTCCGCCACTCCCGCTGCCGCCGCCGCCAACGACGCCGCCGGCGCCGCCGCGAGCAAAATGGCCGCCGTCCAGCCGCAATGGCGCAAAGGCCCGATTCGGTATTTAGGCGGTCCGGTGGTCGCGTCAGCAACGCTCGACGTGTACTTAATCTACTACGGCTCCTGGCCCGCGGGCAGCGGGCAGGAAGTGTTCGAAAATTTCGTGCGGTCGTTAAGTAGCACCACGGAGCAGGGCGGCCGCAGAGGCGGCGGCGGCGGCGTGGCGACCGTGAAGCAATGGTGGGGGATTTCGGCGGGGTATTACATGGCGGCGGACGGGAGCAGTCGATATGTTAGCTCGAAGGTGAGACGGGGGGAACGGGGAGGAAAAGATATGGGGATAGGTGGGGGAAGAGGTTGGGGAAGAGGTGGGGGAAGGGGTTGGGGAAGAGGTGGGGGAAGAGGTGGGGGAAGAGTGGGGAGGGGGAAGAGGGGGGCGAAGAGGGGTAAGGGCGAATCAGAAGTTGCTGCCAGCAGCATGTGGGCAACTCATCTCTGCTTACAATCCCCTCTTCTTATAGTCACCCTTGTCGCGCTCTTCCCTTGTCTCCGTCCCCTCCCGTGGAATTCCATGGCATGGCATGGCATGGCATGGCATGGCACATCAACGCCACCAGGTGCGGCTGGCGGGAGTGGCGTATGACGACTACTCGCAGGGGCGCACGGGGCTCACCGAAGGCTTCGTCGCCGCCTGTAAGTCGCACGCGGGGCTTGTGTGTTTCGGCGGGGCGGTGTGTGTGGTTCGGCGGGGCTTGTGTGTTTCGGCGGGGCTTGTGTGGTTCGGAAGGACGTGTGTGGTTCGGTGGGTGGGGCGTGTGAGTTGATGTGATGAGGCTGGCTGTCAGCCTCTGCGGCGTCTTGTCTGCACCAACCCACCCTCCCACCATCACCGCTCCTCCCTGCCCCTTCCCATCCCGTCCCTTCCCATCCCGTCCCTTCCCATCCCGTCCCTTCCCATCCCGTCCCTTCCCATCCCGTCCCTTCCCATCCCGTCCCTTCCCATCCCGTCCCTTCCCATCCCGTCCCTTCCCATCCCGTCCCTTCCCATCCCGCTCTCATCCCCCCTGCTCTCCGCCCCTGCCCGCCCCATTCCCCCCCATCTGCCCTCCCCACTCCCCTCCCTATCTGTTTCTCTCTCCAGCCGTGAAGCACGTACTCACAGCGGGCGACCTGCCGTTTGACAGCAGCGCCATCTACATGCTGATGGGCAGCAAGGACGTGCGCGTGTCGGGGTTTTGCACCGACTACTGCGGCTGGCACTCCCTGGCGTCGCACAACGGGGCGAACCTCGTGTACGGGTTTCTGGGCCACCACGGCGCCTGCCCCAACGGCTGCATGACACAGAAGGGGTGAGACTAAAGGGGCATGGGTGGGGGAATGGGAGGGGGATGGGTGGGGGGAAACGAGACTGGGCACAACGGGGCGAGCCTCTTGTACGGGTTCCTGGGGCACCACAGCGCGTGCCCCAACGGCTGCATGACACAGAAGGGGTGAGGTGGAGGGGAGGGGAGGGGAGGGGAGGGGAGGTGAGGTGAGGGGAGGGGAGGTGAGGTGAGGGGAGGGGAGGGGAGGGGGGAAGATGTGTGCGGTTGTGTATGGGCCCCTGGGGCACAACGGTGCATGCCCCAACCCGTGCATGAAAGCACATTCCCCAACATCAATCCCCGGGGGTGGATGCTACAGTGTGTCACTATAGTGCATGACAGCACATCCTCTTTCCCTCTTTTCTCCCTCCTTCGTCTCATCCTGCCGTCCTATCATCCTTCCTTGTCTAATCCTTCCTTGCCTCATCCTGCCCCCCACCCTTTCCCCCACCCCTCTCCCCACTCCCTTCCTCTTCTCCCACGACAGCACCTCTCCCAACAACAACCCCGGGATCGACGCTACAGTCTCCACTCTCGCGCATGAGATTGCCGAAGCTGCCACCGACCCTGACCTCCGAACCGGCTGGCTAGCTCCGTCCGGCGACGAGAACGCAGACCTGTGCTCCTGGCAATACGGCAACTCCAACCCTCTCACCGGGAAAGCCGTGGTGAAATTTGCCACAGGAACGAGTGGTAACCAGTACCGTTACAACCTGGTGGGAGCAGGTGGGATGCGGTTCTTGGTCCAGCAGAACTGGGATAGGACGAAGCAGAAGTGTGTGATTCGAATTGGGGGTGGGGAAGGGGGAGGAGGTATGTGCAGGGTGCTTTCTGGTGGGGTGAAGGATCAGCTGTGTAGAACAATCGGGACTTGCTGCTAGGGGGAGGGAAAAGGGGAGGGAATGGGAAGAGAAAGGAGAGGGAATGGGAGGAGAAAGGGAAAAAAGAAACACGTGTACGTCCCGTACGGGCTAAGTAACGGGCTGCTTGTTACGCTCTCGGTAACAACTGCCTGTTGCTTACAGTCCTACAGTCCTACCTTCCTCTAAGGGAGCAATGTAACAGGCTCCATGTTACACTCTGTAACAACTGCTTGTTGCTTACAGTCCTACAGTCCTACCCCTCTCTGGGAAGTGGTGTAGCTGGCCCCATGATACACTCTCTGTAACAACTGCCAGTTACGAGCCTACCCACCTTTTTGGGAGCGTTGTGACGTCCTGCCTGTTACACTCTATGTAGCAGCTGTCTGTTAAACCTCTGGTACCCTGCTTTGTTTATGGAGATGTTTGGGGTTAAGGGTTATATATGTCAAGATAGCAAGCAAGAATGATTGCATTGAACGAATTGTGGGTACAAGTACTAACCCTAATATTGAGTTGTACCCCACATGGGCTACCCCACTATAGTCTACACACAACTAGCACATACCGTATATGGTTTGACAAACCCCCATAGGCGAAGTGGGGGAGAACAAGGGGTCATAAGTGTTGGGCTGAAGTGCCCTTAGGATCTTTGCAGAGTTTAAGTCTGAATAGGATTGTAATAGCGGAAGCGTTGAATAGAGTTCTTGAACCACCTTGCGCTAGTATGTGAGGGCAAAGTAAGTTTGATTAAAACAGGCAAATACAAGGCTTTATATAAGAGTACAAGGAATACGAATAGATATAATAAAACTACCTTGCTGTTTGCGATTCGATACAGTGCGACTCGGGCAACTGCTCAATGTCGAGTCAGTTGTGTGTCCTTGCTGTCGCGCTGTATTGGTCAAATCAAAGGTCGCTGACCTTTGACCTTCGCGTAACCTCCAGGCGGTTACTCTAACCTCCGAGGGTTGACTCGCGATGCTTCGATTTGGACTGCTTCGCTTTGTGTCCTGAGTTTCGACACGACAGAGGCGCTTAAGACTTATTGTTCCCAACACTCCCCTTCGCTTCTGGAGTGTCGCTGATGGTGACGTGGCCTTGTCCAGTCAGCAGCATGCAGTACTCGAACTTCTGTTTTCCGAGCTTCTTGGTCAAATAGTCGGCTGCCATCTCGGACGTGAGACAGTAGGAAAATTCGAGTTTTCCTTTTTCGATCTCGTCTTTCACGAAGAAGTATCGCAGAGCGATATGCTTCGTTCTGTTCGCGAATCCGCTTTTGTTGGCGATGCGAATTGCAGATTGGTTGTCGCAGAACAGGATGAAGTTGGGTAACTCAGCTAACTTTGCTTCTTCCAGCAGTTCGCGAAGGTAGAGTCCTTCCTTGGTGGCTGAGCAGAGGGCGATATATTCTGCTTCAGCTGAAGAGAGAGCGATTAGTTCCTGCTTACTCGACTGCCAGGAGATAGGTCCGATAGGCTCCAGACGATAGACGTAGCCAGTGCGAGAGCGCCTGTTATCTGAATCGCCGGCATGGTCGGCATCGACATAGCCGATTAGTTTCGTTGACGTAGCTTCGTTCTTGTAGTAAGTCAGGCCGATCGTCGGCGTGCTCACGAAATAGTGCAGTGCGCGATCGAGCTCTGCTAGGTGCTCTGCTTCGGGTTTCTTGAGGTAGGTAGCGAGTTGGCTTGCGGAGTAGGATAGATCCGGGCGACAGGTGACGGCTGCGAAGAGGAGGCAGCCCAGTTTCCTCTGGTAGTCTCGTATTCCGGCAGCTTTGAGTGGAGCGGAATTTCCTTTGTCACTTCCTGCCGTGTAGCGGTATGGCGTGGCGATAGCGGTAGGTGTGAGCAAAAAACGCTTGGCGATCGTGTCGGCGTATTTCTCGGCGCTTAGATAGATCGCATTTTCTTCTTCGCGGATGTTGAGCCCGAGGTACTGCGTGACGGTAGAAGAGACCGTGAGCGTGAGGTCCTTCTGCAGCTCCCCTTCGAACCAGGTGGTGACGTCGTCGGTGGAGCCGATGTAGAGGAGATCGTCGACGTAGACGATGAGTAGGATGTAGTTGGCGCCTTTAGTGAGTCGGTACATGCCTTGGTCGTGAGGCAGTTGGCGGAATCCGATGCGGATGAGGCGGGTGTGCAGGTGCTGTTGCCACAGCCGTGGGGCCTGTTTGATTCCGTAGAGGGATTTTAGTAGCTGGCAGACTTGATTGGGTTCTCCGTGAGTACCGTGAGGGAGTTCGACGAAGATTTCGGCGTCGACGGGTGCGTAGAGGAATGCATTGGCGACATCAATTTGTCGCAGCTTCTTCTTCTTCATGGCGGCGACGGCGAGAAGGATTCGGAGAGAGGTATGTCGACTAACTGGGGCGAATGTCTCGGTGAAGTCTCGTCCTTGCTCCTGGTCGAATCCACGCATGACCCAGCGTGCTTTGAATTTCTCGATCGTGCCGTCTGCTTTCGTTTTGATGCGGAAGACCCATTTCCCGGTGAGAATAGTCTTGTTCCTTGCTATGCTTGCTGGAACGATCTTCCAGGTGTTGCGTTCCTCCAATGCTTTTAACTCTTTGTCCATGGCTTCACGCCATTTCTCCCTGTGTTCCCCCCCCAGAGCCTGTTGAACCGTCGCAGGCTCTCTGGGAAGAGAGGAGCCATGGACTGCTGTGACGAGGCCGAGAATCTGCAGTCCTGTCTGTGAGTAGCGGGGGAGTGTTGTGTCCTCGGGATAGGCTGCTTCGTCTCCTGCTTCTGGGTCGGGTATGAAATTTGGTCCTACCCTTTCTGCTTCGTTAGTGTTGGCTGTTGCAGGTGTTACGTAACCATTGTCGGCGAAGTGATAGAAGACTTCGGCGTTGGCACTTTCGCGAGGATTTTCTTCGTCCATGGGGACGTTGACGGAGCAGAACGGGAGAGGTCCGGCTTCTTCGGATGCGTTGTCGACGTTCTGCTCGTCCCAGTCTGCTTCGTCTGCTGCAGAGGCGAATGCTCGGTCACCACGAAAGCCACCTGTGGGGTCCTGATTCTCGTGCAAGTTGGCGAGGTACGTCAGAAGGGTGAGTCGTTCGTAGAAGATCACATCACGTGCTGCTACTATTTCCTTTGAGTGGACGTCGAAGATTTTCCACGCGTTGTAATTTTTCTCGATGCCGAGGTGTAGTCCCCACTGTGCCCGTTGTGAAAATCTTCCCGCTCGTGCTTCTGGTGGTCGGTACTGTACCATGCATCCAAAAACTCGTAACATTTTTGTGCTGCCCTGCTTCCCTTTCCACAACAGATGCGGTGATGCCTTGTTCGGGAGTGACGAGGACGACAGCAAGTTGTGCAGCATGACATCATGGTCCATTGCTAAAGGCCACTGGTGGTTGGGTAGCTGCATGCCACGTAACAGTTTGCGCATGCTGTTCTGCAGAGTCCTATTCATTCGTTCTGCAACACCTTGCTGCTGATGTGCGTAGGGAAGGGAGAGGAGTTGCTTGATTCCTCTTTCCGCCAGGTACTGCTTGAAGCGCTGAGAGGTGTATTCTCCTCCTCCGTCTGACTGGAAGCTTTTCAGCTTTGCTCCTGATTCCCTCTCTGCTACCGGTAGCCAAGCAGCGAACGCTGCGAGAGCCATGTCGCGGCTGGGTAGGTTTAGATGCCAGACATATCGAGTGGCGGCGTCGATGAAGGTAATGGTGTAATTGTAGGTGACTTGTCCTGGTTTGCGATTATAGAGGATGTCGCTGTACACCTTCTCGAGTGGTGCGTACGTAGGTGCGCTCGGGTTGTGATGAGGAGCGAACGGTCAATGAGGTAAGTCAGCTTCAGGGCATGTAAGGCAAGTCCCTCGTGCCTTTTGAAGTTCTCTGCTGTCGGGTAGTAGTAGGGAGTCTTTGTCGAGAACTCCTGCTCTTATCGTGTTGTTTAAAACTGTGTTGCTTGGATGTCCCAATCGTGCGTGCCAAGTGTCTTCAGGAGCGCGGTGTCCGGGTGAGCGTTGATACGCGTCGGAGTTGGAGTAGAAGCTGGCGACGAAGTGTGCGCTTCTGTGGACTTCTCGTTGAGTCGGGTTCAGCTGCTATGCGGGTGTTGGTGGTGCTTCGTCGACGATGACAAGTGTAGTTGGTCCTGCTGCTGCCGATGATGTTTCTGCTCCTGCCGATGTTGTCTCTATTGCTAACGCTCGTGTTCGTTCTGCTTCAGGAATGGTGTGTGAGTACCAGAAACCTCCCGGGCTGAAGTCGGGATCGAGATCCGGGGGATGTGTCCAGTCCGTGAAGTTCACGATGGCGTCGCTATCTGCAGTGCCTAGGTCGGGGACGAAATCGAGAACGAAGACGTTGTTCTTCAACACCGCCCTTCCGATGTAGAGGCCGCCCTTCCCGTGGTACAACTTAAACTCCTGGGTGGTGCTGTCGGCTTCCAAGTGAATACCTTTCGCCATCAACTGGCTAACACTCAGTAAGTTGTAGCGGAGTCCCTCCGCGATAAGTACCTTTGACATGTGTAATATGACATTTGTCTCTCGTGACTGAAGCTGTACCACTCCTTGTCTTCGTGTGCGCAGGTTCTGATTGTTGGCGACCGTAATGACTACTTCTCGTTGGAGTCGATGCTCGCGTTGAACGAAGCGCCCGGAGGAGCACATATGTTGTCCGCAGCAACTGTCCAAGAACCAAGTGTCTTGGCCGGATGGTTCACTTTGAGCAATGGCGGCGTACGTCGGATTCGGTTGAATAGATTCGCGGCGGGGCGTGTTGTTGTCAAGTTGTTCTTCGGGTGAGTAGTACGGTGGTGACTCGGTTGTGCAGGAGTCGGCTATCTTTACCATGCAATTGACAATATTTCTTGCTCCTTGTGCAGGTTGTCCAGTTGAAGTCGTTGAAGCTCGGATTGTGGTCGTCGGATTTGCTTGCGTTGAAGTAACTTGGGAGCTTGAAGGTCGGAGTTGTCGCTGTGGTGTCGTTGACTGCTGACGAGACGGGCAGTGCGTGCGAGGATGACCCGAGGTCTTGCAGATGTGACAAAACGGAGGTA